AATTTTTTCGTCAGGTGTAGATGAATAAATAAATTGTTTTCACCTTGTAACTATGTTCAGCGTGCAATATTATTATTGCATTAATCATGATAAAGAAACTTGCTAATAGATCAAGTTCACATCATTTGCACGTGGTAATAGCATTGTTCTCAAGGTTGCTCAGAAACATAAACTTTGGAAAAATATTTATTTGACTTCAAAAATACAGATTTTAGAAGAATATTTATTTTACTTTTTGATTTTTACATAAAATTTGTAGTGATAAGCAACGAAAAGATGGAAGAATCTTAGCAAGGATACAAATATCTGCAATGAGAAGTAAATTTTTTAATGAAATGTTGTTTATTAAATAGAAACACATTTAAAAACTCACGCAGTAATCAATTTTTAAGATATACATTTCAGTCAGGCAAGATTAATTATGAATAATAATTAACGAATAATTAATTATTAATAATAAATCTATAACAAAAACAAGATAGCTGCACTTATATTACTAGAAGATTATACTGACACTTTAAGTTATTATAGATATTAGTGAAAATATCGTATCGCTACTGCATTAAAATGGAGCTCGACGAGTGCATTAACAACAATTGAATAACTTATGTTTGTATATGGAGACCGGTACTGGATACGGCTTTGGCACTGCCACCGGCACCGGATACGGTCGGTCTACATGCACGACCTTCTCGATGGGGACGGGAAACGGTTGCGGTACCGGTACTGGCACCGGTCGATCGACTGGGACGTGCAGATGTTTCTCGACTGTCACCGGGACTGGCCGGTCCACATGGACGATCTTCTCCACGGTTACGGGATACGGTTTAGGCACTGGCACCTGCACGGTGTGTTCAACATGAATCGGTACGGGAACTGGTATATGCTTAGTGATCGGTATTGCTACGGGTACTGGGACCGGATGTGGCACTGGCTGCGGAACAGGCACATGCACTGAAGAAGAATACAAAAATATTATTCACAAATCCCTACTATCCATTAATATGTAAATATTAATTGCGACATTAGGTTTAATTTTACGTAATAAATAAATCAAAAACATAAATAAATAAAATCACATCTTCCTTTCATTACTCTTTCACTAAAATTTAAAAGAAAGGAGACAATTTATGAATGATTCTTTCTAATTAAACTAATTTAAATATTATTATGGAATTAAATTAATTAATATTACAACAGGCTTTAATTTTGAAATAAATATATTCAAGATCAATAAAATTTTATATATTAACTCACCGACTGGCTGTTGAACTAAGACGGGTGATGGTTCGAGTGGAGCTTCGTAATCCGGTGGACAATATATGTGTATACCATGTCCATTCGAGCAATCGATTCGAGCATCTACATTTCTTTTCTCATGTCTTTTTGACTCTGAAGCGCTCTGCAATTTTTCTGAATCCTTCAATCCGTCAATGGGAACGGCTATACTGCTGGCCAACACCAGTATTGTTACCTGTATAAACGTCACGAAGAGATATCATATCGAATAATTTACGTTTTTATGTAGAATATTCTTGGACAATTTACTTTAAACAAATTCATTATATAAAATCTAGGACAGCATTTTAATCAGATGTCTAAAACGACATGAAAATTTTCCGAACTTGACAACATTTTGAAAAATAGAAAATCTTATCGTATATCTGATTTTATCGTATATCTGATTTTAAAAAGATTTGACTGTATAATTCATAATTGTATAATTCATAATTTCAGTTCAATTGCTCTAACTTTTTTTTTGCGGTATTGGATTAGTTTAAATCACTTTAAATCAAGATATTATAACGCATAATTATCCATTGCAATACACAAACGATCAACAAATCACTAGATCAACATTCTTCATTCTTTATCGCGGTGTATCCGAATATAAATTAGGCGGATTTTCGATCACGACAGTGCACGGAAAGAATGGTTTTACTGAAGTATCTAAAAATTTAGCTAATTACAAATCTGAAAATAATTTTGTTTAGATCAACAAAATAATTATGTAAAACACTCAAACTGGTTACAACTTTTTGCAGAATTGTTATCAACATTTAAACGTTCTATGTAATTATTGTGATCCAAAAAAGTTATTTTTAGATGTGTAACTAAATTTTTAGATACTTTAGCAAAATCGTTCTTTCCGTGTAGTAAAATAAAAACGAGAATTCAGATAAGTACCAGGAAGAATCTCATGATTAGTCGCTCGAGAGTTTCAGTTGCCGGTCGGGATGCCAACGAAAAACTGAGTTCGCTCCGGAATTGTGGCCTTCATATGTATTTATAGGGCATCATCGCTTGAACAAAGAAGAACAACGATTACAAGGAGCGATATACTTTCGCTACCTGAACCTGGGCGACAGCCAAACAGCTGCATTTCTCTCCTAGGAGGTCGAACGAAGGCGATGTGGAAGACGCAAAAAATCCTGGAGCATTTCATTAACGATGCATTTAATCGGAGGTTTATCGGCAATTATTTGATCTTTCGATCGTTAGATAGCCACGATAGCGCGCGATACGTGATTTAATTCAATCACGCAGTGATACATGATTGGAATCGGTCCGCGCATTGAATTAATAATTATATTATAAATATAATTATATTATATTATAAATTAATAATTATATTATAAAACATTAATTTTATGATTAATTTTATGAGGTAATCTATATGACTATTTAGAATTTTATTTTGTGCTTTGTTTGATATAAAAAAACATTTAAAAAATACATATTATATATTACATAGAATTTATAATTTTTATATAGCATATTTTGATATTACATATTTATTTTAATTTATATTACAATTTTATTTTAAAATCTTATATGAATTATAGATTATTTAAAGTGGGCCAGATAATGTAGTTGAATTAAATAAATCATTGATAACATCATTGATTCTTAACAGAAAATAATAAATAAGTTTACTGCAATTAATTAATTAATCAGTACTATTATTTGATATGCAGATTAAAATATTTAGTGTATAAAAAAATTAATATGGAATATTTTTTTAACGAATTAATGCATAAATTATCGCTGATGTAATTCATGAGTTTTGCGCAACAAGAGATGAAAATATACGACAGCAAATGCAAATAACAACTTCGATTTCTTTCAGCGTTCTCCAGCGTCCTCTATTCGGTCAACGAGATCGAGCTGGACGAGTTTTCCTCTTTCGCTTCCGCGTTAATCGCGAGGACTTTCCTAACTTTCATTTTCTAAGCGTCTAATGCCATCGCGTTCTTAATGCCGGCCACGTTACTCGCCATTCATTATTCATCGACGAGTTAGAGCCGGCGAACACGTAACAATACGCCCGATGACGCTGATCAACCAAGATTTACTAGTCACGAATGCGCGAATTAGCAGAATGCACACGTACGTAGTGATCAAGAACAACAAAAAACCAACCTGATGGACAATTCGAGAACAGGAAAACAATATTGTTATGAAAAAACAAGAAAAATGTTCGCTACTCGAACTTCTTCTATGGACTCTTCTTTTATGGACTTCTATCCAAAGATCACACTAAATCAAGAGAAAGTCAAAATGATGATTTATTTTAACGTCATGAAAGTCAAAACGAAGATTTTTGACAAAATTCAACTGTTTCTATCGATAAAATTTCTAAAAAATTAATATCACAGGCAAAAACATGTGATCATTATTCACTTTGAAAATGTGATCCTATCTCTTTAGATAGATTATAAGTATCTTAAGATAGAAAACTCCTAATATAATCATTATTCGAATACTTATTTCAAGAATGCTTCGTATATATTTTTAAGATAGGAAATTCGAAAAACATTTTCCGATAATAATTCTACTTTATGAATTTTCCAGAAAGATTAAATATAATCTTTATCTTTTCTAGTTCTATAAAAATAGACTACAGTTCCTCGAATTCTTTAAGATTACAAATAAATATATTTTTTTTAAATAATTCATGAATCTTGTAGATAATAATATTGAAAAAGACAACATATTGTCAACTTAAAATTTGCTAATCTAGAATACCATGACTAAGAATTAGCTGTTGCAGTTGTATCAATGTTTATCGCTCATGTAGATAGTATCTATAAACGACGCGCAGAATTCTTAGACGTTTTCCTTTTCCCCGTACGTGCGCGGAAATGAGTTTCCAGGCATAATTAGATAGGTATAAGGATGTAGGTAAGTAGTACAGGTACTTTGATCGTCGAACGTAATTGCAATGTCAACATTGCAAGCACGAGCTCGTAATCGAGTGAGAAACCGGTGTCGTTCTTGGCAAAAGACATGGTTGCATTTACATCAATATCAAATAGTATTCAGTATTATTTAATATATCAAACATTATTAAATATCTGATCTCTTCATATTGTAATGAATATCAAATTTGAAGATATTAACTAAAATTATTTAATTTCATCAACATTATATAGATTAGAGATACATAATAATGTATATGTTGGAAAAAAAGTAAACATTGAATAAATTTAATTTTTTAATACAAATTGCTTTAATTAAAATGCTCTTACAGTGAATTAAAAAAATTTTTTTTAACATAATTTCATTAAAATCAAATCTGAAGAGATCAATATGTATGTGTTTAAATATTCAATATTCTGTATAAATCTGTGTGAATCAAATTTTAATCAATTTAATATTAATTAATTTTATTAATCAAATTTGACTTAATATAAATTAGTATTTATTATGATATATGTGATGCGTTTATTAACTTGTTCCATTTTAGTTACAGAGCTTTATATGTTCTGATGTTATTTTGAAATGTCGTCACAAACTAAATCGATAGCAGACAACTTTCATCACCGGAAGCTTAGGATATCAATTAAAAAGGGTAAGTTTCCGATTTGATCGTAAATGGGAACTTGCTTTGTTCCTTGATCTAGACCTGTTAAGTTGTCATTGGTAATGCCATTCGCAAATATAAAAGGCTTCTGTTGTTACGATCTTATGAACAGTTTGTTCGCAACTAGAGCACCATGTCGAAGATCTTTGTAAGTAGCACTTACTCATTTAAGTTGTGTAAATCAAAATTAAAGTGTGAATATAAATTATGAATTCTAAACTGATTACTTAATTTTTCTAAAATTAAAACTTCCAAATACTCTTCATTAAATTCTTCCAATTTTCTTACTAATTTATACAACGCATTTTTGAGCATAATTGAATTTTGTAAAACATGAATTTATCAAAATTTGAAATTTCTTTACGTTAATATTATATTCCAGCTATTCCTGACATTATTATGCACCTGTGCATTCGCATCGGTGCTGAAGAACATGAAGCAGCAAAAACGGGGTGTTATCAGTAACGACGAATGGATCGGTTTCTCAAGTCCTTATGGACATGGAGAACCATGGTCAATCGAGCGTAATTCTTGGAAAGGTCTCAAACTTCCTTCCGAAGTTAATCTGCATGCAGGGTAAAAATAATACACTTATTAAAAATATTAAACAAGATTTATGTATAAATATAATTTAAAATAATTTAGAGTAAATCTCTTTAAATTGTATTAAAAAAATAAATGTTTCGTGTTAAGTTTCAATGTTCTAAAATAATTCTAATTAAATAGAATAAAATAATGTATCTATGTATAATATATCTATGTATTAAAAGTAAATAATATATAAATAAGATTTATATAATTTAGAAAATTTAAAGTAAATTTCTAAATTGCATACATTTTCGCGTTAAGTTTTACCGTTATAAAATAAGTAACATAAAATATTAGTCAGACGAGAAATTTTATGAATATCATACAGTAAGAATAAATATTTTTCGAAGGATCATTTTCTTCTTTACAAATTATACTCCTTCATTTTGAATAATACTTCAAAAAAATTATAATATACTTTCTAAAAATCTTAGGATATCTATAAAATGACAATGTTAATCATTATATTCATAAATGTCGACCGACAGGTTGTATCTAGCAAGTGCGTCTTACGATAGAAGTGGCATCGCCTTAACACCTGAAATTGTGAAAACTGTACCAGTGTATTTAACGAAGCACGTAGTGCTGGAGAAGCCGGTGCCAGTTCCGGAGCCAGTAATCATAGAGAAACCGTATCACGTGCCATTACCGATCGAGAAGATAGTTCATAAACCAGTCCCGATTCCCGTCCCGGTGACTCAGGTAACATTCTGTCAATTTTACTTTCTTTCAACAGCACTTTTAACGAAGTCTATTAATAATGACATTTTTTTCTTTTATAATAATTTTGTGGAAAACAATAAAAAAATCATGGAAATTCCTTAATATTAAAATTATATTGATAAGCAAACATTAAGCTAATATTCTGAATATAAAGTCAATTTATAGTTTATCTTTAGATGCTCAATAAAATAATTCGTAGAGCATCTGAAGATATTTAAAGAAGCCTTAAATATAAGGCCTGTCTATGAATATTATTCTTCATATTTTTTTCTTCTTTCTATTTCTATTAGGACGACTTTTACCAAGCTCCGGTTAACTTAACCAGTCTCGAAGAGAGAAATTATAAATATAAATGTAAATGTATTACTCTTCAATTCGCATTTTTTCTCCGACGTTAGCTTCAGTTGGAATTCTGCAAAGTTATTAGACTGGTTAAGTTAATCGGAGCTAAGGCCCGGTTGCATCAACGTTACTTTAATTTTAAGCGAGGAAACTTAAAACTCTCTTTGTTCCTATCTCTTTTCAGTTTTTTTTAAGCGAGGAAACTTAAAACTCTCTTTGTTCCTATCTCTTTTCAGTTTTAAAAGATGAGATAGAGAGAGTTTGAAGTTTTGCTTAAAATCAAAATAACGTTGATGCAATCGGGCCTAAAAGTCATCCTTAATTTCTATCTCAGGAAAATTCTCAGGCGATGCCAATCCCAGTGAAGCAGCCGATCGCGGTATCCGTACAGCAGCTGTATCCAGTCTCAGTAAAGCATCCGGTATCCATACCAGTTCCGGTGCCGATCCCGGTTCCGGTACAGCCGTTACCACCCTCATCGCTTCCGCTGCATTTGTTACCACCCTCACCGCTTCCTCTGCAATCGTTACCGCCTCCATTGCTTCCGCTGATCCCCTTCAGCGATCATCCTAGTGCCATCTATGCGCACGACTACGCACCCGATCTTCACGTCCACCCGTCGCCGGTCGCCGTCCACTTGGACCAGGGCATTCACGACATCGCTCCCCTTGCTCATGGCATCAGCCATGGGATTGGTCATGTGCTGGAGCACGGTTATGGCCACGACTACCACGATGCCCATGTTGATCTCGTCCATGGGCACGATCATAAAAAGAGGAAGACTGACAGGAACTGACTCGAGCAAACAGAGGGCGGAAGGTCATTGAAATTATAATGTGTCATGTATATATATATATATGTGTGTGTGTGTGTGTGTGTGTGTGTGTGTGTGTGTGTAGAATCAACGGACTTGTTAGATCGACTGTTCGTTTATGTATATAATTTTAATTAAAGGAAAGTTTTAATAAAATAAAAGGAAGAATTCTAAGTATCTTGTAATTATAAACTCTTTAGGATTCTCTTGGAATTATATATCGAGGGCTTTGTGGAGG